CGGATTTGGGTTTTAGACGACAGAAACTGTTAGGGCCGGACGTACAGCCATCTGTGATAAGACGAGGGCAACAGATGTTTGGGGGACACGCAGGTCCCCCGGCAAACGCTTCCTCCTTCACCCTTAGGCGGAGCTAGGATGTTTTCTACACAACCTATGTGCACGTTCTCTGTATAATGTTGACAGATGCCGGCCTGTGCATAGCCATTAATCAACACAACCGTTAACTTGTTCATGCCAGCAGAGCACCATACTAATCCGTGTATTGCTTCACGAAAAGGATGTTCTTTTAATACGCCTTTAGTTCGACCTCTGATACAGACAGTAATACCTTCTTTGTGAAGATCTGTTTACAACACATAGCGGTATTGTTGGATATCCGCAATGATTAATGTCTATCGCTATTCCGTCCAACCCCATCCGATATGACGACAGCGTTTGTAACATCCATTACATTAAACTAATCAAAACTATTCTTTAGGCTATTATGTAGCATATGGGTAGCAAAAATGACGCTTTTCTATCTGTCAATTGATAGTTAATTTCATTCATCAGTTAAAATCAATGAATAGCGTTATGGTGTAGAAATGTGTTGCGTTAACATACTACTCAAAATTAGTTAAGGATACGCGAATCTTTAATATTGCAAAAGTTAATCTTTAACGTCCTTTGAGTAGCATATATCTCGTTCATATATCATCCAATATCTGCCTATTGTCTCTAAGATGTCTTTAATAGGTAACCTATTAATGTAGCATCTGTCGTGTGCTTGATAATCCTATCACAATCATTGACCCAAATTCCTCCACAATGGCTAACTTTATCCCCCCCAACTGTAAACATCACCGACTAAGTGGAGGAACCTGCAATCAGCTGGATGGTTATTACCTGCCCTCGTTAAAGTTAAACTACCAACACGCGGCGTCTTTTGTTCTTCAATGGGCTGGCGACTTCCAATGACAAATTCACCTGCCGAAACATCGCCGACTATACTCGACAATTTGAACGGATTTGAAAATGATTGCATCCATCATCATATGCTTTCTCGCCACTTGAGCGGTTAAACATTGAAAAGAAGGTAACCCAACCCCATTAAAACCATTGTCCAATGTCGCATTAACGCCGCGCGGCCTCTTTGATGTTTTACAGGACATTATTAACATCGCGTAGTAATGTCTGCCACGCGTCTCGCGACATCGGACTTGTTTCTGTAAGTCATCGTCTCTAATTACCAAAATTTTATTCTAAAGATTTAATGATCCCGCTAAAGCCACCTACATCAAGTTAATTTCTATATACACAATCACTATCTTTAACAATGAACTTTCATGGACAACGTGACCACTGTCTGCTTTATGACCGTACGGTCTAGCACCATCGATGACCAAGCTGGCTGTAATTAAATCGTTTCTCTCGATCTGGGATTAACACCTTGATTTATCCTAATCTCGTAAATTCTGGAGACAGTTTATAGGATTAATCAACGTTGTAGACGCGGAGGCGGAATTGCTGGTGCTCGCCAGTCATAAATATGTGTATCTTTTGTTGATCTATCTGTGATGCTAGACAAACAAGTATTGTTGTTAAAAAGATTGCCTCCACTCGCCAACACAGAAGGTGTGTGTTTATACCTATATAGGAGTAATTAGATTGTCGATGGGATAATTAAACGCAATTAAGTTAACCATATGCTCAAATTAAGCGATTTATTGTATAAACATATTCACTGACATGTCTCTTTCGAAAGTTCGGCGCCAAGAAGTTCTTTTTTTATTTCTTCCTTGTAGGAAACCTCCTTGAGGAAAAGTACATAACAAACATTCTTACTCAAATCTTCAGTACTCTCCTGTTCACAAGTGCATTATCTATTTTGTTCCTAACAGAATGGCTATTAAATAATTGAGTGTCAGAAAATGACTGATTCAGTCAAGAAGTCTTGAAAATAATGTGATCCCAACAGTCAGCAATTTCATTCTTTCTCATATTGAATGTGTATTCAGCATTTTCTTTGAGCTATTGGACTTAAGTTAATAATTCATACTTTATTTATGGAGTATGTGAGAAACCATGACCGATCAATACATCTTAGAAAATTGATAGCTTAGTGGATGCAAAACCATCTAAATTTGAGTTACCTCCCTTGCACGATGCCGCTCTTCGGCTATTCACTTAATCCTCAATCATGATTTAGAAAGGTTAACGGAAGATCTTTTTTGACCGGAGGCGATAACAAAATACATTTCCATCTACTCAAAATAATAATCACTGTTGGCTTTTTGTTGTGTTTCCCATCGCAGTTAAATTTTCCGTGACTAATTATCATTCTGAGTCCCTTAGTCCCTGATCTGTAGGAGAGATACGACGTTAGACCGAAAAAAAACAATAGAGTTTTTTTCGTTATGATTATTTTATAATCTATACATACATTATTGTTATCGACAAATGCCCTTATCTAAAAGAGTAAAAGCTCCGCCTTATCTCAATCCGGGCACTGCGGGTAAGAATTTGCTTATCTGTGTAATATTAACCGGCTGTTCTGTCAGAATGGAGCTTAAGGGGTGAGCAAAAACTGTTCAAATTATCTAGTCCAATCTATATATACTTCAAAAACACCGTGCATGTACTTAAATCCTCACCCCAAGGCAGATCGTTATGGAAGTTGCTTGGTTATTGCTTGGCCAGCCTTGGGGGGTAATTTGACGGGTGGTGAAGTAGGCCGCGCCAGAATATCACCAGTTGGTTTGGCCTACCCCACAGGTAGCTAGCTCATCATATCACCAGTTGGTTGGTCTAGCCCACAGGTAGCTAGCTCATCATATCACCAGTTGGTTGGCCTAGCCCACAGGTAGCTAGCTCATCATATCACCAGTTGGTTGGCCTAGCCCACAGGTAGCTAGCTCATCATATCACCAGTTGGTTGGCCTAGCCCACAGGTAGCTAGCTCATCATATCACCAGTTGGGCCTAGCCCACAGGTAGCTAGCTCATCATATCACCAGTTGGTTGGCCTAGCCCACAGGTAGCTAGCTCATCATATCACCAGTTGGTTGGCCTAGCCCAAAGGTAGCTAGCTCATCATACCACCAGTTGGTAAGTCTAGCCCACAGGTAAATCATCGCGTGGCCACAGGCTCCTGCCAGGTGATAAGTCCAATTTACCAGTACATTAACAGCGGTGACGACACCAGCCAAATGATAATCCTCCTTAATGTCAATGCTTCACTAGAGAGTCCCACCTGTATGTATATTAGTGATGACGTGGCCAGTACCTGTGGCTAGTACGTGCGGTCAGTACTTATTTCTGGGGATAAAATTACCCGCATGAAATAAACCTATTCGAAGCATGTAAATATGGAAAGCTGCCAGAATTAGAATGGCAATCGGAAATGTATGAATATTAGTGAGCGACAATACCTCGTGGGCTTGCATGCACTATTAAAAATGTCACGTTTGGTTCTCATGACTCGTGCCGTTGCTGTAGCATAGTGAGTGAGTGAGTTTAGTTTTACGCCGCACTCAGCAATATCCCAGCTATATGGCGGCGGTCTGTAAATAATCGAGTCTGGACCAGACAATCCAGTGATCAACAGCATGAGCATCGATCTGCGCAATTGGGAACCGATGACATGTGTCAACCAAGTCAGCGAAACTGACCACCCGATCCCGTTAGTCGCCTCTTACGACAAGCATAGTCGCCTTTTATGGCAAGCACATGGGTTGCTGAAGACCTATTCTACCCCGGATCTTCACGGGTCTGCTGTAGCATAGGAAACAGACAGACATGTCCTACAGTTAAAGTAGCAAACGCCACTAAGACACTTGTCACAATCAATCTTCTGGAAGATGTCACACCATAACCAACTTTCTGTGATATATACGTCATATCACAACCAACTTTCTGTGATATATACATCATATCGCAACCAACTTTCTGTGATATATACGTCATATCACAACCAACTTTCTGTGATATATACGTCATATCACAACCAACTTTCTGTGATATATACGTCATATCGCAACCAACTTTCTGTGATATATACGTCATATCACAACCAACTTTCTGTGATATATACATCATATCATAACCAACTTTCTGTGATATATACGTCATATCACAACCAACTTTCTGTGATATATACATCATATCGCAACCAACTTTCTGTGATATATGTCATATCGCAACCAACTTTCTGTGATATATATGTATGTCATATCGCAACCAACTTACTGTGATATATACATGTACGTCATATCACAACCAACTTTCTGTGATGTGTCATATCACAACCAACCTTCCGTAATATAAATGTACTATCATAACCAACTTTCTGTGATATATATGTGACATCACAACCTTCTTTTTGTGACAGCAAATGTAATAACCACCAGCACCTCTCTGTGATTTCTATACACCACAACCAACTCTCTTATACACAACGCAAATAGTGACCTCAACTAATCTCCTGTAATGAAATATGTAATACCACATCCAACAAATGAAGTATACGGACTAGATATTAATAGTATGTACAGTGAGTGAGTGAGTTTACTTCTACGCTGCTTTTAGCAATATTCCATCAATATCACGGCGGGCGACACCAGAACTGGTCTATGTACAGTGACGAGTACAGGACTAGGTACTATCATCAGTGTGTAAGTACAGTTATACACCGGCTGTAGTACAGTTATACGCCGGCTGTAGTATAGTTATACGCCGGCTGTAGTACAGTTATACACCGGCTGTGGTAAAATCCCAGGCATATAACGACAAGGGGAGAATAATGAATTGGCTTCACACTTTATACCGTGTTAACAATAGAAGTAATGTCTTCGATGTGTTCAGCAAATTCTTCAGCCACCCGTCACCCCGATGTCGTTGGTTTGGACCAACCGGAAACCACGCCGTTAATCTCTCCATGGAGAATGGTCTTGCACACACCAAACCATACGAGACAACAACCATTCACACAATCAAAATCACACAATCAAAGTCACATACCTAGTTGTTGGTTGTGCGTCAACACCCGGCCACGCCTTTATTGTCAACCGTGCATGAACCCAAACTGTCCACTCCAACAACGCGTCCTAAAGTCAGAATGTAGGTATGTTATTAAAGCAAGTCAGCGAAATCATCGGAATTAAACCATGCATGTCAAGCTGGCTCTTTGTCTATCGGCTTCTAAACGATTTCATCGATTTTCTCACCGACTGAAACAAGTGCGTCGGAAATCAGCATCATTGGTAATCGATGATGTTTGAAGGATGCTTGTCGCCTATTGTTGCAGAGCGGCCTCACTGCCGCCAGATAACCCAGAGTGCGTGGGAACTCTATTGCAGAGAGCCTAACCAGGGTATACGAGCTATATTCACTGTGTAAGTGGTGATGATAACGATTTGATACAACGGTAAATACAGCCTCACAATAGTCAGCAGACTCAGGACACAAGTGTACGAAGTAACACGGTTCTATATAGGGTTGAGTGAAGCCGTAACAGAATTGCCTGTACATTCGGGCCCTCTCTCGAGGAAATATACAATACACGTGCTTGGGTTGTGTGATTTTATATACCACGAGGGTGCAATTAATTCATCACGGAGTATGATCCCAGCGTACCAATAGTTTCCTTTTAAATTTTAATGTTTAAGTCATGTCGAACATAATTAATTGTTCATGACGATAAAGTTATAGGTTCCATCACTGCGCTGTAGACGTTGTCACGATTCCTGAAAACACATTTGTGTTAACTGGGACCGCATTAGGGCGTCTTCTTCCAGATCATCACGCAACTAACAAATGAAACTTCCAATTACTTTCGTAATCGCGTTTGTAACATGATCCAACTTATGATTAGCAGGACTGTTTTTTCCGGATATTACCTTTGATAATACATTCGATGCTTTGACTTAATGTCTCAAAAGATATCGACCCAAGTTTTACGGCGTATTTGCAAGATTATACGAGTGCTGCCTTGACTTGAGTTAATTCGCAACTCGACACACCTCACTAATCCCAACGTTTTCTATTCCAGGTGGACAAGGCGATTAGAGTTATCTCCCTTACACTGCTATCCGGGGTGGACATCCATAGAAAGGCAAGTGTTTGTACAATGTATCATGCATAATGTTTGTCTTATGGAACTCGTCATGAGATATAAAGACATTCATATTACATTATAACATGTAGCATCCCCATAAGTTGTAACACAGCCTGTATAATACACGTACTGCATGTGTAAAGACATTACACTCACGGCACCCACCCTGAGCAGTCTCAATACAACTGATATTATTCACAAAACCAAGAGTGAGTATGGTTTTACGCCGCGTTTAGCAATATTCCAGCAATATCACGGCGGGGGACACCAGAAATGGGTTTCACACATTGTACCCATGCGGGGAATAGAAAACGGGTCTTCTGCGTGACTAGTGAACGCTTTAACAACACGACTACCCCACAAAACCAGGAAACGTGTGACACATTCACTGACATTTCACAATTTGTATCAGTTGCGATACAAAATGCAGGTTTTGATTCAGTAAATATGAATCGTCCAAACATTAAGTACAATAGATATGGAAGAAGTATAAATCAAGGCTAGGCTTTAACTTAGTGTCACCTGGGGAACAAGGAAACAAACCCTCAACGCTACAGCGAAACTTTCTCACGTTGGGGAACATCTGGGAAAACTTGAGTGGAACACGTGGTTCGATGGCACGCGACTCCTAACCCCGACACGACACCAGCATACTTAAGTTATTAGAACGACATACAGAACTCGTACTAATATCCGGCCATGGGACGTTAAGCTCGTTTAAACATCAGATATAGTTTCAAAACACCAACACATTGCGGACTGCCTTTACTGTACCCTTGTCGAATATAACCTGGTCATTTTAGATGTAGGTAACAAGAAATAAATACTTGACCATACTATTATGTCAAAGAATCATTCTGTAGATTGGTCAGAACCTAATGTCATTACAAATACCGATGCCATTATAGATTTAATAATAATTTATTTTTTAAATCGTTTTTGATTAAAGTGTTATGTGTTTTTTGTTATATATTTTACTACTTCAGATTTAGCCTCGTCACACTCTAGGTACACGCTACACGCTACTACACAATTTCGAATCCGGGAAAGATTTATTGCAATAATTGGGCAATAACATCTGAGGGTTATATTACATTCCTATCAGCACTGTCAACGACTGATGGCGAAATTACAGCCAGAGGCACGCCATCCCAGATTTAACAGATGAAGTGAAGATATCCCAACACTGATAAACTCATCATTAAGTCACTGCATCCTTTAATGCATCTATTTCACCATTGTACTGCTGGATTTTCTCGACTGGTAGGCCATCTCTCTCGATAATGCCTGTTAGCAAACACAGCCTGCCCCAACCAAAAACACACATTCGACAAGAGAGCTGTCAATTTCCCTCTTGTGAACATAAGCCGTTGCTTCATTACAAACGGATGTTTACAAATATTTACAGGTATATTGTATTTGGAATGGATTCAGATGTAGTGGGTGTGGGACGTTGCCATGACGTTGCTTGTGCCGGGGGCGACGTCAACGCGGCTGATCACAATAATTAAGCCACACAATAATTCCCCTTGTCTGTGTAGACGGTGGCGGATTGGGTATGAAGTCATGTCATCGATGGGTCTATGTCAATACCCGGCGTTGAATGAGTGAGATAAAATTAATTTGTTTCAACCGAGAACCGACGTTGAGCCTTACCAAAACTGCCATCAATCCCACTATTTTCATGAATGAGTTAGCGAGTATGGTTTTACGCAGCTTTTAGCAATATTCCAGCAACATCACTGCCGGGGACACCAGTAATGGGTATACTTTGATGAACGTTTTCCTCTCTCGCAAATGATCCGGTGCTTAAATTCTCTTGCGATTTTACCATGCCATTTTGATGAATGGAATTTGGAAGTTAAATCTTATGAATAAGAAAACATTTCAATAACAAACTTTGGTGATTTTTGCAATTAAGAAAATCGACGTAATTTTCTGTATCTTCGATTAATGTACACCAGACCGAAAAAATGTCTCCATTTCAGAAATAACAGCACAGAAATGCTAAGCAGATAATATTGTGTCAGCAGGTCACCATGAAATTGTCATAAACTCACAAGAAACAACACTAGAAATGGTGCCTGCTTCTGCTCAACCTCTTCCTACCACACACCAGGTGCAGAACGTTACCCACAGCGCCAGATGTCTGGCGAGCCCCTGACCTGTGACCCGAGCGCGTGGCTGGCGCGCGTGTGTGCTCGCTGCCTCCACACGTGGGAACTTTCTCGGGTGATGCCTCGACTGACTTCAGTCTCTTGTGACAGTTATGGCAGAGTTTCTAACAAATACGTATATACTCAATACTTATAATAAGTGCGTGTTAGTTTTCATTTCACAATTAATCTTGTATATAATCAACCGATAACAGTGAACATCACTTTCAGCGTCGTACATAACGCGTTTTTGAAGACTTAAATATTTAAATTTTAAGAAAAGTGAGGGGAGAGATACTGAAAATAGTGTTTAACTATAATGTGTTCTTCAACATACTACCGGAATTTTGTTCTCCAGTATTAATTAATGTGAGTCTAAGTTCTGTTTTAGAATTTCGTTTACTCGTAACGTATAACTCCACGTATAACTATCGTCGAGTGAGTGAGTGAGTTGAGTTTTACGCCGCACTCAGCAATATTCCAGCTATATGGCGGCGGTCTGTAAATAATCGAGTCTGGACCAGACAATCCAGTGATCAACAGCATGAGCATCGATCTGCGTAATGGGGAACCGATGACATGTGTCAACCAAGTCAGCGAGCCTGACCACCCAATCCCGTTAGTCGCCTTTTACGACAAGCATAGTCGCCTTTTATAGCAAGCATGGGTTGCTGAAGGGCTATTCTAATAGACCCGGACCTTCACGGGTCATAACTATCGTCGAAGTCATTTTTATTTCACAGTGAATCTCCAATAACCGTTTATCTGACATGCGATACAACACTCGTTATGGAATCGAAAGAATCCAGAAAAGGCATTTCAAGTATTTAACTTTAATCTCAGCGTCAGCACAGCGAGTTGCAAAAAAAAATAGAGTAAACGCACCAAACCTTCAATCAAGGCTAGCTAGTGAACATTCCTTTCTGGAATCTCTCACAACCTTATTGAAACCGTTTTGAGCGGCATGAAATTCGGTATTTGTTAACAGTTAACCTTTACATATACAACATGGGTCATCGTTTTCAAAGCAGATCTCGCAAGTCCACGTATACGTTGATCGTTAAATGGCGGATATTCGAGAACATGGGACAGGATATGATAGTCCAGTAAATCTCGTGGTCTCGTATAAACCCGTCATCTATGGCACTTGATGCACTGATAGTGTCAATCACGGCCACCCAGAACATCACTGCTGCCCGTTCTGCACAAACTTGCGTTACTGGTGTACGTAGTCAAGGAAACTACGCTACAACACCCATCGCATTACGCAGAGCCGACATGGATACAACCTCACACATTATCAACATTTAAAACCAAACTATACGTCTTTGTAAGTAGGTTAATAACTTAACTGTTGATGAATAAGCGGTGCAACAGCTGTCTAAATATCAGAAATCACGAGCGCATGAAATATTATTAAACGTTAAACGAAATATAAGGTATGTACATCATACGACATGCACGAAAGCTTCAAGCAGGCCATCATTATTAAGTACAGCCAATAAAATACGATAACTCGCCACTATGGTAATTGTCAGTTAATATGTAGAACGTCAACCGTTACAAGGGTGTTTCTACGTTAAAATCACCGTGTAGCGTAATGGCGACGTTACCTGATTCTTCCATGTTACACTTTTCGGCTCTGTGGGATCAAAGGTATCCCTTGCTAGAGAGCGCTCTGGTGAAACGTGTCAGAGCATTAAGTATCCCAGAGACCTAAAGATGGGACCCATTACTGTAAATCGTGTTTAATCAACTTGTGACGATCAAAAAGCATTGATGTTCAAACAGTTCCCACCCCCGACGTCAGCCCACTGTTGCCTTCCTCTGACTGTTTGGAGGCATCGAACCCTTTTATCACAACCGATACTTTCACATACAGACCTAAAATGCATGTTAACACATAATTCGACAGGGACTAGAAAGCGGAGAAATGGGCTTCTTTACATTGTATCTGGTCATGACATGCCAGAAAGAAATCGAAAAGGATAAATGACAATAAAGGTATGTTCTAGGAGCCATGTAAGAGGCTGTATTTGACAACATTCACGACAATTAGGTTCATACGTAAAACATCAATGAACATTGTACAGATGACAAAAGCAGGTAATGAACGGCTGATAACCGGGAGGCTCATACACTGTAAACCTACCAAACACAGCGACCCAGGTGAATTAGGTAAATCCAGAAAGCACGTTAGGTCCACACAGCATACATGTAACCAGAACAATATCCACACTACACATGGTAGTAGCCGTTGGTTCGGAGTCCGTCAACCCACACTAGTCAACTCCAAGTGGTGAGAAGGCTGCTCGGACGATGTGGCACTGCGACAGGCTATGGCATCTCGACGCTGCTATCGTTTGTATTGACAATCTCTGACCCGATGTTGGAAATACTATTCCAATATGGCTGAGAAACTTTTTGATGTCACGTGATGCGCACAATGCCTCTATTGTTGTAGGAAAAAAAATGGCAGTTCAGCACACCTTTCAGCGACCTTGGTGCAGCGGTTGCAAGGCCCACCAGAAATGCAAAGACAAATTTTTTCCCTGTTCCCGCGACGGAATGATTCAGCGAGGTAGGCGTGGGTACATGCCACATTGGTTTAGGTCGACACATACTCCAGGTAGAGAAGTCGACTACCGGCCTGCCGACCTCAACCATGCACCAGGAGCAAATACCCTTTGTCCTGCCCTTTTCATTTTATTGTACAGGATAATTGCAATATATCATCGATCATAGCAAAACTCATGACGTCACGTTCAATAGTGCCTATTGTTAAGCATCGATTTTCATTTCATACGTTTAATACAATTCGCGTCGGCAGGTGTTTCCATCAGTGGACAATGCCGTCATGTCGTTTGGTTCCGACACAAGTAGCACAGCCATGTCGAGTATCAATGTTTCTAGACATCATATAACTTTCATTCCCTTCAAGGTTTGTTTAACACCGTGTCACGCTTTGGGAGACCGGTTTCTCTTCTATATAAACACGAATGTCTACTTTAGCTGGCTGAACGCCAAACACAAACCAAACCTACAGAACCTTTGAGAAATTGGCCACTTGTTTCAGACCGACGACTGACCAATGCAATCAGTCAACTGACCAGAGTAAGCACTGGCCACGTGCCGTGAGCAGACGACAGTCGCCCCTCCGCAGAAGTCAACTGCCAGGTTAGTGTGTGGACATTGCCTTTTGCCCTGAGGGCCAGGCAGCACAATCGCCGTGCTCAAACATACTTCTGTTTGCGTGATAAATTTAACAGACATTTGCATGCGTCTCGGAGGCTGTGGACATGGCGATTGTTTCAAGTCTGGATGCAAACAAGCTAATTTTTATGGTACACTCATCTGATTCCCCAAATTGAAAACGTATACAGTCACAGCACCTTGGGCCAAATCCCGGGCGATCTTCGCCTATGAGTCGAGTGCGCGTTAAGGCCACACCGTGCATGCCAGAAAACAACTGCCAAATTACTCCGTATAGTCGGGCACGAAAAAATTGTCAACCTTGATAACCTCCACATTTCCAAATGATTGATATAGTCTTGGATTATTCTATGCCCGTAGGAGAAAAGTGTTAGTCTTCAAAACTATTGTCAGTCTTCAAAACTACATTGTATCTTAATCTTTAATCAAATCATTCAACATTGGACACGTTTTGGTCGTATGTACACCTTTAATCTTGAAGGTTGTACCAGTTTAACGATTTTCCCGATTTCAAATTTTGATGTTTGATGTTAACATCATGGTGGGATATTGGTCCTTAAGCTAACATTATCGCTTTATAAGACTTTGTATTATCCGTGTATACCTGTATATACATTTCAGGTTATATTTAGTTTATATCACGGGGTCGAATAATCCTTTGCGTTGGTGCATGTGACAATGTAGAATGGCGTAACTATTTCCTAACAAACCATACGATCGAAAGCAGCAGACAGAACATCTAATAGATCACGGATGTTTGAGTGCTAAAGCTCCATGCAACAATATTGGTTTATCTCACCTCACAGGTGCTTGCTAATTAAAAATAGAGGTGTGTGTAGGAGCTGCGTTCCAGGGGAGAGGGCGAGCATTTGGTAATGTATGAGAACCTCACCATATTGTTGGGTGAGCAGGTGTTGGTCAGTTCTAGACCCAGTTGAGATTCATACGTACAGTTGTTTACTGTAGGCATCGTGTGCTACTGTTTTGTACACACAGTCATGCAAACAATGCTTCATGGGTGCCAATTATCACTGAAGCATCCTTTGATCTACGTCAGTAGCCCCATGCTGTTCTGTCTCTCAACCATCACAATGTTTTATACACCTATGGGCAGATGTCCGAACGTTTCTTCAGAATATATCATCGCTATTGACATACAATTATCACGTATAGTTAGCATCATACTAGCCTTGCTCCAAGGCTGTACTGAGGGCTAAGCCCACTGATGTATAGTAATTCTATCCTTTAAAGAGGCAAGTCTAGAGAAGCGGACAGGACTCTAGGACTGGTATGTTTGTGGGACAATGTGTTAATTTTATCTATATTTTTCGAAATTATATTTTTAACTATTAATTATTACCTTAGAAACTTGTGCATGTCTAGGATCATAAGAATGAGTTTCTATATGCTGTAACAGAGAATAAGTTGTGGTTTAATTCCGCTTTAAATTAAAGTCATCAAGGAGTGTCAGAAACATGTGAGAGAGAAAAACAGAAATGGTGCAGTTATCGGACGTTTACCACTTCAGTGAAGCCTTAGAACACGGGTATCGTGCTGAGAAAAATAAAAAAACTTGATCAAAGCGAATATCTACCGTGGAAATGCATTTCCGGTATGGCAACTGGGCCAGAATATATAAAATATGATGACGCGCCCATTAGTACCCCATTACTGGGGAAGGGGAGAGAATTCGGATTAGATTGAAAGGTAACACAAATGCCCTTTAAACTTTGACCTGGGTATAAGACGTTTGAAGTGGTTCATGGTTCGACATTTATTAATATATTTTGGAAGGTACTGGTAGGTCGGGCCGGTGTCCCTGATGACAGACAGCGGTGATGAAACGTGTCTCGGGTTTAATCAAGGGACGACATATATTTCATGAAAACAACGACGTGAATGTGAACTAGCCGGCCAGATATTCCAGCAATGACGTCACCGCCAGGTAGAATCAACATGGAGGTTGTTCGGCAACTCCCGTGGCGCGATCAGACCCTGCTCCGTCCATAGCTGCAGCAGGCAACGCCCTCGCTCAGATAGCAATGCGTCTTCATCAATGTTTCAACCGACCGCCAGTGGCGAGATTTGCAATAGTGCGCTCCGTGTTTTATCTACACCTACAGATAAAGGGGGTTCCTACTCTACCTGATCTTAATTACAGATATATATTATGCATTGTCTGAAATGTAAAGGAGAGTAAAGTGTTAATGGGATTCCGTGACGATTACAATCGGCTATAGCATCTCATCATATCTTCACTGGACATTAGCCCTGACGGGAATGCCTGTGCATGCGTATCTTAATTCAGAACGGCCTAACAATGGTGTCGACAAGTGTTCAACATTTTACAGATTGTTTCGAAACATTTCTTTCCATAGACATGTTTAAAACAATGGCCAGAGCTATACTGCATTTATACAATGGCAATTTCGATCCGTCATGAGGAAGGAGGGGGTAATGTGTGTTCTAGCCTGCCGCCAATACGTCATTAATTATGATATCCCACCTGAGATAACCGTTTAATTTGATTTAATCGTTCGCTAAACATGAGAAGGAATATGTGATACAGTAGCATTAAGACGCTATTTGCAACCGACAAACTGCACCCTCTGCCCTTGCAAGTCTAGCCTTGTACCTAAAAGTCTTCGCGTCTCTTTGATGCTAGACAGACAACACGTGCGAACATCAAGGGGGGCACGAACTAAAAGAACGCGCGTGCGTGCTGCCTGGGGGTCCCTCGTAGTGGACAATGATCCCCTTTTCTCACGTCTCCCCCACCTCCTTTCAATATTTACCAGGTGGTCATCCGTCGTTATCGCCAAATAACAAAACCACTGCAGCTTAGCAATCGCCTCGGTCAATCGGAACATAGCCTGCTTTGTTGGACAGGCTGCAGAGTCAAGAGCTCCATCCCTCCCGCCAGAACACGACAGGACAAACACAGACACGCTATCTGCCCGGACCCTTCTATAAAACCAGTTTATACACTTACATAACACCCTGATACGACACGAGCTGAACTGATGACAGAACTGGGGGCTCTCAAGATGGTCGTGGCCAAGGACCATATGGTGATCTGTTCGTGTCATAATCTGTTTGCATCGACCCGCTTCACTAATCAAAGCCCGTAGTAATGACAGCAGCAGATGATAACGGCTCTACCGTAAATTGACTGTAGGGGTTACATTGAAGTAAATTATACCCCGGCTGCAGTGGATGATACTGCAATTAAAGGGTAATAAGGGTTATCTGGATAGAAACAATGTTTGTCCTACTGCTGGTATTTATTGTCAGAATGTGTGCATGAGGTCATAAACATTACCATTATGGCCTGGACCATCAACAAACAGGAACAGTGAGATTGTATCAGAAGTCCACTTCAACGTTTACTGCCCCGGGCCTGACATTTAGCCAGAAATAGAGTTATTACCTCTAAAAATATACCAGCAAAATAAAAAATACATATTCCAGAATAATGCATCATTTCAGTACGATCCAAGAGCTGTGACTCTATTTTCAATTTATTTTCAAGGGTCTGGAGACCGTCTGAACTTACTTGTTTAAAATCCAGTGCAATAATTACAAGATCGGTTACAAACGTAATGAAAACATACTAAGACTTGGTTTAGAGTTTTAATTTTGAGGACACATTTTTCAAGGTATTATTTCAGTGGTAGTCGTATTATCAATATATATCTTTGTCTCAAGGATTGTTTAACAGCGTGCTTCTTTGTGTCGAGATTTGCTTTTTAGTTCATGAACCGTTCGATATTTAGATGGAAGGCGGTAGTCACGTAAATACATGACTCAAAAGAAGTTCAAGAATATGCGCAATTAGAAGACTGTGTAGTGTAGAAAGATCTTCCAGTCGAGACAGATTAACTGAAGTCAAATGAAAAAAACTGGGTGTTCTTTATATTCTTTTAGTAGCATACGAAGACATAACTGAACTGAATATTCCACTAATGAGTCTGAAATCACGATGACGCCATGGAATTCGACAACAATCTCATTCAAACAGGAACCTAGTTATACCGGAATGTAGAGGTTCCACACAGTTTCCCGTCGAGCGAAATGTGGAGGCATTAAGTTAAAGTGACAGGTTGACTGAGCTTACTACGTTATAGGTTCACATTCTGCTCTTGTCAAGTCGCTGTTCTCCAGGAAATGGAGCAACACAACACGATTCGGGCCATATAGTTCCTTGCCCACGCGCATCGCCTTTTACAGGGACTCTTCTGTGCTTTAGCTGGTGAAACAGCGCGTCTTACATCATACAACTTTTTCACGTCCTTTCCAACAGGAAATATATGGTGTTCTCTGCGCAAGAACTCGTGGGAACCGGAAGTAATGGTAAAATATGCCAGAAATCTGAGTGACTGAACATGTGGGAAACAGCAGCAGAATACGTGTGTCTACCCCAGAATGGGATGTTATGGATGTGCACTTCAAATGTTTGTTTCAACGACCTTTGCCGTTTCAAAATAATCATTTTGCTGTGGGAAACACGTCGAACAATGCGTGGTAAGCATGCAAGACCAATGTGTACAGAGACCTAACACGTACTCTCTACGTCCTATACGTTCAGTGGACATATGTCAATGGTCCACCAGCTTTTAATCTTCTTTATTTTTCGCAACCAAAATTAGTATGAAGATGTATTCACAGCATAGCTACTAAACACTCCTGCGTATATCAAACGGCGGAGGACCAGCCACAAGGATGCTTCAGAAAGAATTTGACCTGTCGCAGTACAACTGACGATGTTAAACGTATCGATTCTCCTAGTCCTGTAGACTAAATATTGAGAGAGTAAATGGCATCAACTACGCAGCAAGTCAAACAGACCATTCTCGCAAGGATCCTCCGCCACACAACAGTTCCCGCGTGGCCAATCTCACCGGCAGCAGCATACGACATCTGTCCGCAGACGATACCGTTCCAGAGCAGACGAGTTTCTGTGG